TCATACACTCTGCCTCTAGTCAACACGGTTGTTTTGGTCTTTGTTTCATGGTCAAAACCTCCATTGGTTTTAAACTTTGTTTGCCTTCATGCAAAAGAACACAACCTAATTGTTTCATGTTTATCTTGAAATTTCAAATTATTTCAGCTTTTGGTTCTTCAATTTGAGACTTCTGATTCATTTTCACATTCTATTATTCTACTGGTTTTATTCATTTAGCTTTCTAAAATATGCTTATGTACTCTTTCCTTTTTCCCTTTTTGTCCACTGTTCACACATGTTAGCACATTAAGACCCTTTGTGTAATCAGCATATGCCCATTTCATCAGGATTGTCAGAGGGAAAGAACATGTGTAATGATCACATCACTAAGGACATTGAGGGAGGTCTTTGCCAGTGACTTAGTTCCTCAATAAGAATATGTGATTTAAACAATTTGAAAAGGAATTTGCATTCCTAACACTTACTATAATTCCTTTAAAAACATGGCCTTAGAAGGTAGCGGTGTGTGGGTGATTATATTTGGATGCAGAGAGAGAGAGAGAGAATTAATTTGTGTGTGTGTCTGTCTGTCTGAGAGAGACAGGCTGACATTAGAGGAAAGAGTAAAATGCTAAGGTTGGTTGGCTCATGGCAGAAAGATGAGGAGGCCTGGAAAAGCAGTAAAGGAGAGATTACCAAAAAGCCACAGCAGAATTGCAAGGCAACCTCATGAGAATAAATGGCTTTACAGAAAAGGGCAAAAGAAGTTCCTTGACAGCATGCCAATGGCCCAAACTGAGGGCTGGGTTACAGTTACTTTGATGGGGACAGCTTGGTAAAAAGCCACATCACTAGTGTACAGCCAGTTGGAATTTGGAGAGAACACGTCAGGTGGGATAATGGATGAGGCTGATGGGATTGCTGAAACACAGAAGAAACAGCTACGGTCTACAGTCTCCAGGCTCACTATGCATGTGTGAGGCAGAGAAGGGAATGGGGCTGAGTTGAGGTGGAAGACATCACCTTGTGAGCCAAATGAGTCCCCAAGTGACTCTAAACAAATACTAGTAGCTCAGTCTCAGGTGGGAGCCCTGCAAACTGCATAAGCAAGGGCTCACATGAGCAAGCCCATCACTAGGGATCAGGGCTCTGACTTATTGCAGCATCGATAGGGATCGACATGTCTCACCTGGTGGTCAGACTCAAAGGAGGAGCGGGGAGACCCAGGAACAGGAGAGTGCTATCCAACCCCATCAGAAGACTGGACTGGCTTGAGCAAAGGACACTGAAGAAAGTTGTCATATGGACACAAGGAGCAAAGAAGAGCGAGTCAAGGCAGTTCTTGCCGAGTCCTCTCTGTACCTGAATCGTAGCACCCACCACTTACTTTTCCAGGTTCTCATGTTGTCTAAACCAGAAAGGGAGATTCTTCTGGGAACCAGAGTGCATTCCGGCTTCCTGCTGCAGCTGTGCCCACTGCACAGGAGTGGCTCCTTGTGGCGCCGCTCAGAGAGATGGCTTGGCTTAGGAGGGCGGGGAGGCGGAGTGATGCGCATAATGCCTAGGTCTTTTGCTCCACAGGTCAAGGAACCTTGATTCTTATCTACACGAATGGTGGAATTTAGGGAGGCTTCCAGCGATGCTGAAGATGACAATGGGTCCCTGGATGGCCCATTGATTTCTCTACTCCAGGTCAGGGCAGCCTGAGGCCTTGTAGAAGGCACCTCCTGAAAGCCATTTCCATGGCGTGAGGGGTGGACCAAGTGACTGGAGGGTAGCAGCTGCAGGCAGTCAACAAAAACATCATCGAATGAAGTCTGTTCCAATGAGCGGTCTGAGTTTGACCAGCTGTCACATCTGGTGGGTAGACTGAGGAAAGAAAAGCATGTGAGTTTGACTGAAATGTTGCCATCCACCTACCATGAAGCCCATGCTGGCCTCATTCCCATTCCTCCTGTACTGCCTTTGGCTCTACTTGTACAGCCACATTCCCTCTACAACCCTCACTCACGCCAACTCCTTGGTGCAGGGAAAAAAATATTGTTGATTTTTTTTCATCTTATAAGTGCCAGATACATATGAAAATGCAAGGTTAGAAGTGAAAGCCACAGTGCTGAAATACATGACTCATTTTGTTTGGTATATTGCATGCTTCATCTTTCATAGTAGTGATAGTGATCTGTCCCCACCTTAGCAGTGGCAGGAAGAGAGGTGAGAGCAGACACACCCACTAGAAAATGCTACAGCTAAACCGAGCACGTCTCAGCGACAGATGCCACAAGAGGAGGCAGCGTGGTCTCTGCAAACAGAGGAGAGCATGCTAGAAGGCCTGGCTCCGATGGAGGCCTGGGCAGAAGCATACCTGGTGTGGTGCAGTCTTCCAGTCTCACAGTTGGACAGAACCAGATAATCAGGAAGGATGAGGAGCTGTGACTCACTTCTGGTTTCCTCCGCGGCTATGGTATTAGTGTTTGGGTCATCTTTTGGCAAGGAGGAGCTGGCAGCATGGGCAGTAGTGTGAAGGGAGCTGGCAGGGGATGGCTGGAGGGAGGACGGTGCATGAGAGAGGCTCTCCATGGGATCTGCTGGAGAAATCATTTCCCAGATCAATGTTTTAAAAATGGCTATAACACTCACTCAGAATTTCTCAAACAGCATCCGAGAAGCCAAATAGAAGATGCAAATCACAGCTGGTGTTTGTACTGGTGGAGGAGATCATTTCCCCAAGCTATAAACAATGTCTGGGGAAGAAGTCCAATGTTCCAGGAGTGAAGTGTTGAATCAATTAAGAGGAAAAAACCCAGCATTCTTGGCCCAAAACTCTGCAGTTAGATAGTCCACACACAGCTTCTTCATGGCCCTCAGCAGCAGTCCTGCATCATTGTTTATTCACTCAAGAAATACATACATACATATAAATCTGCACACATATGTATTCATGCATAGCAAGTCTATATGGATACACTTACATATGCACTTATGCATATATGTGTATATGTCTATACAGATACATATGTCTATGTCTGTATAGATGTCTAGTATTGCACGTACTATGTGCCCGGAACTGTTCTCACCCTGACAACACAGACTCTGTCCTTACTGGACTTCATGTTCTAGCAGAGGAGAGAGACAAGTAACACTTAAATAAAGGAGCCTGTTGATCATTCTTCTGAGGAAAGGGAAGGAAAGAAATGCGGGAATAGGCACCAATGAGAAGTCCAGATCAGAAAGAGCCAATGAAAAGCTGGCTTTTATTTCCCCTTTGAACTGACTTGGCAGTTCAGGATTCTTGAGGCAGAGCGAATCAGAACTGCCTGGGTCCAAGTCCAGGCTGTGCTACGTAGCCATCGTGACCTTGAGCAAGTTAGTGGCCTGCCTTCTCCAAGTTTGCTTCTCTGTAAAGTGGACATAATGACAGCAGCCATGCACAGAGCTCCTGGCCAGGGTACACACAATATGTTGACTACTCTATGGTTGCTGGAAACAGAAACAAACATTATATGTGAAAAGCCACAAGAAAGCCAGCAGCAAGGGAAGTTGGTCAGGGAGGCTCTGCTTGGTTTATATAAGGTCAGACGCAAGATGCAACAGACTTACTGTGACTTTGTAAATAAATTTTGTCTGTTGTACCAAGGATAAAGACTTGCCATCACTTCATTTCCTTTTATTTCAGTGTCCTCACAGTTCAGCAATATTATTGAATATCCTCACTTAATAAGGTCCCTGTTCATGAAAAAAAAGGACTATGCTCGGGAGGCCCATTCTCACATGGCTGTCCTAGGACATACAACTCTGACTGTCCATCGCCACCTAGTGTTGTCATGTGGATATGTCAGGGGCAGATGGTGAAAAACATAACAGCGACCATTGAAATGTTGAAGCAATTGTAAACCACGGGATTTAGGCGTGATGTTTTGGCCAGTAGACTAAGAGGTTAAAAGAAACGAAATTCAGAATCCAATATTTTGAGGATCAGGGCGTGGTGCAATAATGCCAAGGGTTCAACCACAAAATCCACGAAGGGAAGTGAATTGTAACCCTACGTTACAATATACGTGATAGATGACATAGGAAGGGCAGTTTTTGAGTGCGTATGCGTGTGTGTGTGTGTGTGTGAGAGAGAGAGAGAGAGAGAGAGAGAGGGTGGGGGAGAGCACCTCCTCAAGGGTCAATTGGCCTAGAGCAAATTTACAGCTAATTTCTCCTGCAGAGACCTGGAGACAGTTGGAGATATGAGGAATTCTTTCCTGCTTATAATGAGTAGCCAAGTTCTGTCTTTCTACCATGTAGTGCTGAAAATCCAGTAGGCATCAGAAAAGGTGGAGTTCCACACATTTTTGAAAGATGGTGGTATGTGACATTTCTAGAAAATCATGAGCATAATGATCACCGGGAAAATCAGAGCCCTGTAGGACGTCCTCACCCACGTCTTACTTTCACTGTATGCAATGTTCTCTGTGTGGATGGATCCTGTCTTCCCACATTTGGACTGAAATCGCAGAACCACGTGAAAGATGGCAATTTCCCATACTGTATTTGATGGGGAAAGTTCTGATATAAATTAGCATGTCAAAACACCGTCAAGGAGCCAGCTTGAACCATCTTTCTGTAGTAGCTTTTCAGTGCAGGTGCAGTGTCCTGGGCCACCCCTTAATACACGGGAGCCCCAAGTCCGCTCTCACCTGCATTGTCCCCCAGGTGGCCGAGGTTGCAGACCTGACTGATGCTGCGCACCCACACCTGCATTTCTTCCTCGGTCTTGGCCACCAGATAGAATGTACGGGAAGTGGTCTTGACAATGAACACAAAATTATTCTGAAATTCCTTCCGAACGAAGCCGGGACCCGCATGTTTCCACACTGCACACTCGCTGAGGTCTATGACGCGGATGGGCTTGCTCGAGTGCTTGTTCCTGTAGTACTCCAAGACGTCGGGGTTGCCGCTCATGCGGCCCCGCCGGAGGACGAACCAGCGCCTGCGCCAGGCCTGCAGAGGGGCAGTGCGACAAGGAGTTACTGAACCGATTGATCGTGCTCCTCAGGCTCTGCCAAGAACCTACGTTATGACAAAGATAGCGAGAAAGAAGCAAACCGGCCGTTCCAGTGATGGAACAGTCTGTATTAAAGGACCAGTGTACTATCTTCAAGTCTGCTTTATTAGATGATTTTAAAGATGGTTCAGTATTGGGGAGTCTAGTAATGAGATTCACACCCATAGTCTGAAGGACCAGAATAATGCAGTCACCACAATTGATGCAGCAAAGGCATATAATACAAATTTGATGAATACTCAGGCTTCAAAAGCAAATCTTAGTAATGAGGAATGAGAAGGAAACTGTCTCGCCATCATCTGTCTCAGTCCAACAGCCAACACCACACATTAACATCAGACACAAACCACGAGCGCCCACCGTGGACTGTCGTCTATCACTGTTACTCAAGTTCCAGAGAACTGCCCAAGAAGAAAACTCATAGACATTGAGGAGGGGGAGACAGGACTATCATTATCGGAAGGTGATATGCTTGTCTTCCTATAAAACCCCCAGGGATGATTAAAACACTAATAGAATGTGAAGAGAATTAAGAGGCATGACTGGTTATACTTCCTATGTGAGAGTTACTTTCCTAAGTGTTTTCCTGTAACCCATTTAATCTCAAAAATTGTCCTATGGGAGAGGTAAATATTAATGTTTCCATTTTATGTATGATAAAATTGAGGTTCAGACAGATTATGCAATGCACCCAAGGTCACGCAGCTAAACAACTGTAAGAATAGATGTGAGCTCAGGCGGGGGTGAAGGATCAGTAATGGATGTGAAATAAAAAATGTAGAAAGGAAGTATAGCCAACTCTATAGAGATGTCTAACTGTAAAGACAAAGAATTCTATGGTCAAGGGATTTTTTTTAGAGGTGGCAGTCACTTAAGCATTCGTTAACAAAAGATGGTATCATTCCCCTAGAGAGCATCTGAAAATATGTGGGTTTTGCTTGTCATAAAGAGGGTGCTGGTGGTGGCAGGAATTGCCTGGTCTAAAGGTATCAGTGCCCCTGTTGCAAAATATTATAAGGAATGAAAGGAGCTTTCCTTAATGAAATAGGAACCTTGGAAAGAGTCGAGTCTTGAGGGAAGATGAACAGGCAAAGCTTAGTCTATGCTTAGAAAAGAAATGAGGGGCCGACCCTGTGGTGCACTCAGGAGAGTGCAGCGCTGGGAGCGCAGCAGCGCTCCCGCCACGGGTTCAGATCCTATATAGGGATGAACAGTGCACTCACAGCGCTCACTGGCTGAGTGCGGTGCGGCCGGTCTCAAAAAGGACAAAAAAAAAAAAAAAGAAAAGAAAAGAAATGAGAATACTATTACTATTCCGCAGAAACCAGTGCTGAGATATGGCAGGTTGCTTTTTGTGCCACTGGGAAGCTCTGAGGAGGATCTAGGCCTCCTCGGCTCCCCACTCGCCCTTGACGTACAATGTTTGCTGTAGACAGCGCTATCCCGGCTCGGTACAGAGAAGGTGTACAGATCCCTGGCCTGGGGAAAGAGGCATTTGCAATTAACCATAGGAATCCTCTGAACCTGTAGAGTTCTCTACCCTCTCCTGGCCTGCATGGATAGCGTACCCTCACTTCGTGCTGTAGGGGACTGTGGCATTTGCCCCAATTCAGAATCGAGCACAGAGAAGTTTGACAGGCTGACAGCAGGACTTTCTTCCACTGGGGATGCTCAATGTTGCAGTTGGCAAATGCACGTGGAGAGATTTATAGCTCTGTGGCTTTCTCTCCAGTGCAATGGCATGTGTGACAGCAGGAAGTGTGGGGTTCTGCCAGGAGGATGGTGACCACTGGGACAGGAAATCTTTTGTATCTCTAGCTTCATTTATGCCTGACACTTTTATAAGCCCATCAGTTTTGATCAAGATGTCAGCAAAAAAGGAAAAGCCACCATTTGGAGTGTTGGCAGCTCCCTCTCTACTCAGAAAACATGAGGGATCTGAGGCAGCAGAGAATCCAAAGAAGCACTGAATACTGAAGCCAGGCATCACACGTGACCTACAGCTACATCACACGTGGTGAACAGCCCTAGGTCCTCCTCAGCAGCAAGCAGGTCAGGTTAGATGGAGCAGGTGAACCCTGGCTTGGTGCTGCCTTTACAGACTGTCTAAAGCTCTGAGAAGAGATTGGGCTGCTCAGGCGATGGACAAGGCAGGTGGGGTGGAAGGATCAATAATAAATGTGAAGTAAAAAAAGCAGAGAGAGGAGCAGCCAACTCCTTAAAGGTCTCTGACAGTAAGGGAAGGGAGCTCTGGGATAAAGGGATTAAAAAAATAGATGGGAGACACTTCCATGTTTATCAACAAATAAACTCTTATTTTAAGACAGGAGAAATAACAGCATGTTTGTAAGCTCATGGGGGTGACCCAGGAGGGAGAGAAAAATTAATGATTCAGTTAATTCCCATTGCAAAAACATGGCATTGGATGGGAGTGCAGCCTAGTCCCTGTGCTCCTGCTCCCTGCAACGGGAGAATGCCACGTGTGCTTGCTGAGGAAAGCTTTCAGGGGGAGCTTGGGGTACCCCAAACTACCCAAAGGCTGCTTTGGTAACGAAATGTGAAGAGGAGCTTTGTTGCACTTCCCAAAAATGATTCTGAAAAAGGAAGGCGAACTGAACAGAGAAATGGGTTTCAGGTTAACTGCTCTTAGTTTCATGGAAACAGTAGATTTCTTATCCTTTAATACGAATGTTTATTGAGGGCCTATTCTGCACCACGCATCCTGCTAGATGACAGAACAGAAGAGTCAACCAGGAGCAATGGGAGTGCAAGACAGAGAATGACAGACAAGTTTGGGTTTATCCACTCATTTAACAATTACCTGTTGATAGCCTAGCGATGTGCTGGACACTGTGCAGATACTAGGGTGAGGTGAGCACGCTACAGGCCCTGCCACTCATAGCTTCCTGGGCAGCAGCTTCCCTAGTATCTGCACAGTGCGTGTTCATCAATGCAGTCTGTGAGATACGTGCTATGATAAGGGAGAACCAAGATGCCATCGAAGCATACAAGAGAAACATCTCTGTCAGATCAGTAGCCTGGGGAGGCTTCCAGGAAGAAGTGGTGGCTAAGCTGAGACTGAAGCAGGGCAGAGGAAGCAGCATGTGCAAAGGCATCAAGATGGAAAAGGTACAAAGCTTTGTGTAAGTAGTTCAGCAGGGCTGGGAGGCAGGCGTGAGAGCGGAAAGGAAAGACGATGCTACACCCTATTCACACAGCAGCTTGAATAGGACAGAGCATAATCTTGATGTTAAATCATGCAGAATTGCCCGCATGCCCTCCCTTAGGTTTTTAAATTTTTACAATTTCAGTTTTAATAAATATAATAAGGACAGTAGCTTGAAAACCATCAAACACATTTAAATCAATGAGTTTATCATGATATTTGTTGGGCCAGCGGGATTGGGAGGGCCAGAAAGCCGCAACAAAGTAGCAATGGAACCTCCATCTTGTTAACTCCACCCCCCAGTTACCCTCCCCGGAATTACATCTCCCCTGATAGGCGGGAACCGGAAACTGAGCCCTGCTCAATTCCTTACCATATATGGGCAAAAAGCTCACCAACAGCTCTCCCCTATAAATACCTGCTTGTATCCACCCTGGGCGCTACTTCCCCGGCCTCACTGCCTTGGGAGCCACGGAACCTCCTCCGAGAGCCTCGAGAGCGCTGCCATTAAAGCCTGTCTTGAACCCTTTGCCTGGCTCCTCGTTACTTACCACCGCAGATTTGAACCAGACACTATTAAAAAAGAAAAAGATTTTGTCATCTTTGGAGGACGTGAGGGAACCAGTTCATTATCTTGGCAAGTGGTAAGGGGAAAGCATCATTAAGCATTACCCCACTTTTCCTATGTGAGCTGCCCCACTGGATAGATGAAGGGGAATACCTCTTTATGAATGTATTCTGACTAATAAAGGGAAGGCAAATGATAGATTTAGATAGAATTAGAACATTCCATTCTGCTATCTCCAGTGAATTAATAGGTATAGATATTAAGCATCAACAATGCTAACTCAGGAACGTTCTCTGCCTTCAACAGCCTGGTGTGCGCGTGCAATCAGCAAAAGCCAGACTGTGGGAAACTCTACAGGTCAAAGGATAAATGATTAAAAAAAACAAAAAAGAAGAAGAAGGAGGAGGCACAGCCAAGGAAATAATCAACAGAATGAACAGGCGACCTGTGGACTGGGAAAATACTTGCAAACCACATCTGATAAGGGATCAATAACCAAAATTTATAAAGAACTCACACAACCAATAGCAGAAAAAAAGAATCCAGTTAAAAAATGGGCAAAGGACCTGAACAGACTTTTCTCCAAAGAAGACGTATAAATTTTGGCTAACAAGCACACGAGAAAACGCTCAACATCACTAATCATCAGAGAAATGCAAATCAAAACCACATGAGATATCACCTCACACCCATTAGGAGAGCTATTATCCAAAAGACAAGAAGTGACAAACCTTGATGAGGGTTGGAGAAAAGGGAACCCTTGCACATTGTTGGTGGGAATATAGATTGGTTCAGCCATTATGGAAAACAGTGTGGAGATTTCTCAAAAAATTAAAAATAGAACTACCATTCGATCCAGCAATACCTCTCCCGGGTATATACCCAAAGGAAATGAAATCACCACCCCACGAAGATCTCTGCACCTCCATATTCATTGCAGCATTATCCACAACAGCCAAGATATGGAAGCAACCTAGGTGTCTATCAACAGATGAATGGATAGAGAAAACTGTATACACAATGCAGAATTATTATACACAAAAACATATATAAATGATAGAATATTATTCATCTTTCAAAAAGAACGTGATTCTGACATTTGTGACAACATGGATGGACCTGGCAGGCAGCCAAAGAAAGATACTGCGTGATCTCACTTATATGTGGAATCTAAAAAAAAAAAAAAAAAAAAAAAAAAAAAA